TGACAGAGCCTAATTTACATGCAAAAGTATCCCTTGTGCCACGTTTGCCAATCTAGTCTTGCTACTTTTCTCTGAAAGCCCACTCCAGGGCTCAGGACCCTAACTGCCAAGTCCCAAAACTCATGTTTTTGTCTCAGCCCTGAACGTCTGTTTCTAACCTCCAGGACGCAGTCAGCCAGTGATTTGCCATCCTGAAAGTCTTCCCTTGCACCTCTCCCCTTTCCCGGCTCTGTGCCTAAGCCAATCCATGCTTTCTACTATTCCATTCTCAGGTTCCTTGCCCCATTGTGAGTCTGTCCCGAGGAGAGTTAGCTTCAGGCACCTACTTCCCCTGCCAGAGATTTTACTGCCTTCGGGCAGTGAAGCCTCTAAAGTTAAAAAGGAGAAAAGTTGAATAAGGGTAACTTGGAAGTTAGGTGCCCTGAGCCCGGAGACCATCATCCTCTCAACGGAAAGAAATGCGGCAAGAGGCAGGTATGTCCAAGGAAACCGTGAGGCTTCTGGACACTGAGCACTGTGGAGCAGACTTGTGGTTTGGGTCACTCATGGCACAGCTGAGGCGAGTTTTGGCTCTGCCTGGGATAACCACCTAGCTGGGGTCCTTGCTGCCCCCCACCGGCTTCCGATGCCGCTGCAGTGCTTGCCGCGCTCAATGGTGTACGGCTGCGGTGTATCATGTGCTGTGGGCTCAGATCCGGTGATTTTGGAGACAGTGGGAAGTTTCTTTTTCTGCATTGTTCCCACAGAGGATAGCAAGTCAGGACCTCGGACCTTCAGGTGGTCTTAGAGCAGCAGCCCGACACAGAGAACCGGAAACCTGTTGCTCAGGATGTAGGAGGGTGGAGGTGCTGGGTAACTGGGTGTTGCGGAACACACTTAACCTGGAGAGTAAGTTCACGTTTCATGGATGCAGGTCCTCATTGTTCCGGCGTGTGCGCGCTTGAGGCGAGATTGAGTGTGAATGCCACGTGGATGTTCTTGTGGTCGTGTCATTTTGTGAGTGTCTGTGGTTTGGGAGTGGGCACATGTTTGGAGACAATTCTGAGTTTGTGTGTGTGTAAGAGTATGGCCGGAATTGAATGTGAGGATTACACTCTGCAAGACTCTTCAGCATTGTCAAGCTTGGCGGGCTTTCTAGCAAAGGACTGAATTGCAGTAGATGTGGGTGAGGGGTTGATATCACACGCCACTGGAACATCTTGGTAAACAGCAGCCGGAAGCAAGGGGCAGCTGGGCAAATGGTTCGGGAACGTGAATGAGTTTTAGGTGATGAATGGTGGGGGAGGAGGGGCGGGGCTGGAGGTCTGCCGGGAGGCTTAGGAAGCATCCATCTATTGCTCACACCTCCCTGCTCAAGCCCAGCGGGGCATCCCGCCCCTCCTTCCCCACACATGGACCACCCAGCGTTGACTCTAGGAATCCACACAAGGTGGGGAGTGGGAAAGTAGGATGCGATCCCGCAGAATCCCCCTTGAGCTTTCTCAGGAAGATCTTCCAATCCCTATCTAGCTGGGAAAGAGGTACATGGTTACCAATAACATTCGTTTAAGACAGGAATCTGATCCCCATTTCAAAGATGAGTACACTGAGGTGCTAGACATTTCTAGCCCATGATCTTACTGTCTGGAAAAGGCACAGCTGGAATACAGGTCAAGTCCGACAAGTTCTTGAACCTCTACCTCTTGATTCCCATTGCCCTGCCCTCCGGTGGGTAATTCCAGCTGCCTGAATCAGACATCCTGCTTAAACACAGAATCATCAACTCTGCTGTGCACTAACCTGCAAGTGGCATTTTTAGTGGGGTCTACAGTCAGATTTCGGGGAGCGAGGATTACCTGTAATGCTGGACTCTGCCCTACAAGATCGCACACCTAGGGATGGAGTCGAGTGCGTGTTCAAAACCCACAGAATCGAACAGGTGAAGTTTACCATGACGTCAAAGTGTCTTCAAATTCCTGCTCACTTTACGTGTGTTTTTCGTTGGTCCTCAGCACCCCCCACTCTCCCCTTCCACCCCCGCCATCAGTGACCTCAATGCAAATACAATAGGGGTGGTCCTTCTGGATGCTCCAGGTTCTAGACGCAAGTGGTGACACAATCCTTCTGGGGCTCAGGATCCTTCCCCTCATTGGTTGCCCGGAGCTCTTGAACCACCCCAGACTCAGAGCAGCGGGAATAAGAGCAGCTGCTGGTGTGGAAGGAATCAGAGGCACTGCCTAGGTCGTGTCTCTGCCACTTCTTCCACAGTGCCATCGCCTGACGCCAAAGCTACTGCCGCGGCTCCCTCTTCTGCTCCCAGCCACCTCCTGCCAGGTAAGCCAAAGATTCCTGCTTGGCTGTGATTCTGTTTCTCTCTTCCTCTTTTCCCTTCCCTCTTTCTCCATCACTTTTTCTTAGCTGATCTCTTTTCCCGTCTCTGAATCTCTATCCACTGTTGTCTGGGTCTCTTTAACACACAAATCTATGTTAATCCGCAGTTCGTCGCAGCCTCTTTCCACAGGTAACTCTGGATGCTCTCAGTTCGCAGACTCCCAGCTCCACTCTTCCCGTGCTGAAGCGGGCTCCAGTCTCGCTGTCTTCAGCTGCACACGTGCTTAGGTCCATTTGGGATGCTGGAGCGTCGCAGGCATCTCTCACAGAGCAGGACGCAAGAATAGATTTGGGGAACGTGCGCTCAAGGATCATATTTTGAACCTAGTGGTCCAGGGGGATAGGGGTACAGAACCCGGGATAGCGCAAGCCGGTGGTAATTAGGTACAAAGACTGAGGGGCAGGTAACTATTAAAAACAAGCTCCAGTTTAGGTCGGACCTTATCTTCCCAGTATAAGTCCTGGATCACAATTTGAGACTACCAGTTTGCTTTTTACGGGGTACTCTTTGCCAAGGTGTAGAGCAGCTGAACAGTAGAATTTGGTTCTTACGTTTTTGAGGGATTCAAACTTCAGAGAGATACCTTCTCTACTCCTTGCTCCCCTGCCTGGTATGAGCAAAATCCCCACACCGGGGAGAAAGGTCTGTGCTGTACTATGGGAAAAGCTGTGGTGACAGGGTACTCCAAGTCTGTCCTCCGAGGAGTCCTGGCCAACAGGTTGTCTATGAGAGTGTGTGGGTGCTGGGGAGGGGGCTATGGAATGAGACTTCCTCACCCAGTTGTCCTGCGAGGTTTCTTTGCCCAACCAGGCATGCTACAGGCTCACTGGAACTTCCAGCAGTGCACTTGGCTGAGGAAAAAACAATGGTGAAGGGAAATGACATGACCAGTGTCAAGCCAGGATGCCAGGAAGTTAGAGGGAGAGGCAGGAGCAGAGTCTGGGTCTGTGGGCTCACAGAACCTGGAACTGCTGCAGGGTGACATCATTTTCTCTTGCAGAGAGGCATCATGGGGTTCTGGAAGTTCTCCCCCTTCCTGGTCCTCAGCATCCTGGTCCTGTACCAGGTGGGCATATTCCATGCAGCGCCACTCAGGTAAGAGCCCGGCTAGGAGTGCTCCCATCTCCCATAGCCCCTGGTATCATACAAGCCTGTATTCTGAGTTGTGCTGTGCTGTATCTGGCTCTTGAAGGGTGGGTGGGACGATCGAGGGGTCAGAGATGGTTCATTGAGAGTTGGGACAGCCTCATGCCCTGTTCATTGAGAGCTGGGGTGGCCACATCCTTGGGGGAAGTGGCAGAAATCAGGAAACCTGGTTGCTTATCCCGGGTAGGGATCAGGCAGGGACTCAGAGCCTGTGCTGGGATTGCTTCTCTTTCCCAGGTCGCGCTTTGCTGGTCGCTTTGATCCTGCTACACTCACTGAAGAGGAATCGCGCCTCCTACTGGCTGCCATGGTGAATGACTATGAGCAGACGAAGTCCCGTGAGCTGGATGGGCAGATGACTGGGGGCTCCAGGTGAGGTTCCCTGCCCCCTGGGCACAGGACATCCCCTCCCTATTTTCATGCCAATGAAGGACTATAATGGAGCCACCTTTGGGTTTTCTGACACCCTTGGAAATGTCTATGGGGAGTTTCCCTAATGACCTATGATTTTCTGCTATGATGACTGTTTCTAGCAGAAATACTTAAGACTCACTGGTGCCTCTCAGAACAGTAATTTTCCATAATGATCCCATGGGGCAGCACCTGCACTCAACCTCTCACTGACAGGCTTTCTCTTTTTCTCCTTCCTGCAAATCAGCATCACTGCCCAGAAGAGATCCTGCAACACTGCCACATGCATGACCCATCGGCTGGCAGGCTTGCTGAGCAGATCTGGGAGCATGGTGAAGACCAACCTGTTGCCCACCAAGATGGGTTTCAAAATTTACGGTGGGCGCCGCAGGAACTATTGGATCTAAGCAGTGAAATGATTCTAGGAAGAAGGTGACTGCCCTTTATACTGTCAGATGGGAGGACAAATGACTGGGTATTGCAGGGGTGGGTTACAATTGTGATTCTTCTAGCACTTGAGTTTGAAAGGTAATTATCCTATCCTTTTGGAATTTACTCTACTATGTCCATACATCTGAATTCACAATTGGGTGTAAATACTGTGTTTTTCCTCTACCAATTCTATGACCATGGACCAGACCCTCCCTGTGCCTCAGCTTCCACATGTAACCTGAAGACAACAGTAGTACCTACCTGTTCTAATCAATATAAAAAGTAATCGGGATAATTCATGACAAGAGCCTCTCAACTAATGAGTAATTAAATACTAGCTTTTTTTTTTCTACCTAGGTCACCATGAAGCTGAACTCTACTTCTTTTCATCTGCAATGAAAGCAACTTACTAAAAAATAGCATGAATGATACACATGCATGCATGCTTGTTGATACTGAAAACACTCTTCTCCCTGAAATAAACTAAATGCAGAATAAAACATTGCAGTTACCTAGTATGCATCTTTTTTATATTTGATTCTGTATCCAATCAATATAACTCACGATTCATTGGTTTATCTGGTAGCAAAGCTGAGCCCTGTCAGTCAACCTGTTGATGGTCGCAGCTCTACTAAACCTCAGGGGGACATGAAATCACTGCCTTGTGGGGGTCTGGGGACACATACTAATGCTGTGCCTCAAGGGAACTCTTCACGTAAAGAAATGTTCTCATTGTGCACTTCATCCAGGTAAAAACCTGTATTTTCAATACACTTAAAAGGAGTCCCTGCTGCTATTTTTGCTGTTTTTCCCATGACAATCTCAGGGACCTGTGAACACTTTGTTGACCAGGCTGGCTCAAATGAGGCAAAGATAACATGCTCGGGGTGGGTCCTCAGTATCCTGTACCCTCAGTGTCTAGGGAAACACCCTTATAGGAATTAGAACCCCCCGGCATCTCAAAGAGACATTGACACTTAATTTCAGAGACTACCCTGGTCCCCAGCCCCAGAAGTTACCTGTTCACTTCTCTCTGACTCAGGCTTGCCCCTACCAATCCATGCCTTTCCTCCCCAGGATCACCCTTTCATATACCCCATAGCCTACAAAGCCCTTTAGAACAATGGCTCACAGTATGAAATGGGATCACAGACTGGCAGACTTGGAAAGATCATCAGATGACATCGAATCCAACTTTTTACTCTCTGAGGTGCAGAGAAGAAGAGTGCATTGCTTAGGGTCCTCCAATAAGTTTAGCAGAGAATTCCTATATTTAACAAATAACTGAGTATCTGCTATATGCTTGACACTATTTGAGATGCAGGAATAGAGCGATGAACGGAACAGACGAAACTCCCTGCATTCATGGAGCTTATATTCTAACTGGGGGAGACTGAGGTGATACATGCTATGGAATCAGAGACACTCAGTATTGGAAGGAATGTGGGATGTCATAGGGTCTAGATGCTTATTTGATATAGGAATTTCACAGCTTCAATATCCCTGGGCATCTGCAGCAAGTGCCAGTGACCAGCTTCTGACTATAACTTCCAAGGTGACTGGGCAGCCAGTTTCACTGGTAGAAAGTCAGTAAGTGGGGATTTTTAGTTAGAAAAGTCATATCCTCCTACCTACTGTCTCTATTATTTCCCCTGAAGCACAAAGAATTATGAGCCTTGCTCCCATTTGGTCTACATTAAACATTAGACCCCTACCTTAGCCAAAAGATACAGCAGGCCATGTTTCCCTTAGAAATAGAATACTCCATTGACTCTCTACTTCAAGGAGTAAACACCTGGGTCATTGCAATGGCTTACAGGGTCTGAGTTTATCTTCCTATCATCACCAGTCCCATTACTGCCTCTTCTGACATCCTACTTCTCCTTCACACTGGCCTTCTTACTACCCCTTATGCTATATTCACAGGCACCAGCACCCTTAGTTGTTTCCACCTGCTGGTACCTTTCTGCAGAGAACTCTTACCCAGTGGCCCCATTGCCTCTAGATCTTGACTCAAATATCACCTACCCTGGCTATCCTTTGTGAAATTGTACCTCAGCACAGCAACACACCCCAGCACTCTTCTTTGCTTTTTTATTTTTACCTATTTACCACTTATTATGTACTGTCATACTATATACTTTATTTAGCTAATTTATTAAGTGTAGCCCATCCTGTAAACAATGTAAGTACCATATAGACAGGAATATGGCTATTTTGTTAATTGCTCAATCCCCTACACACATAACAGTATGCCTGACACAAGGCAGCATTCAATGAATATTTATTGAATGAATGGAGTTAAGTCGTCTTCTCTTTTGTGTTGTAGTCAACTGTCTGGTTCCCTCTGGGCCTGAGGTACCACATGATCTGACCCATCTCATGTCTCTGTCCTCTAGTCAACTAGCCCATGGCTTGTTTTACTCCCAGCTTCCTCAGGGCTTTTGCACTTTTAATTTTTTTGCCTAAAATCTTGTTCCCCAAATGTCTACATGTCTGATTCCATCTCTTCCTTTAGAATTCTGCTGAATCACCTCAGAGAAGACTTTTCTGACCACCATATTCAAAATTACATTCCTTCTCAGATGACTCTCTGTCATCTTATTCAGCTTTATTTTTTATCTATAGAACTTAACACTATGCAAAATGTTACATACTTATTATTTTTTCTTTTTTGTCTATGTCCTTCTCCCAGCATGTAACTCTATGAAGGAAGTTACATGTATCCTTGGCTAGATCCCTGGAGCTTAGAATATTTCATAGAACATGACAGGCCATCAATAAATATTTGTTGAGTTAATAAGTAAATTATAAAATTATGCAGTGCTCTGATTTTGTTCTCTGAGTTCATCTTTAACCATTGATATGTTATGAGATATGGAGATCTCACATTTAAAGTAGTCTATAATTTTTGTATTGATTTTCACTTTGATTCAAAAGTTATATAGAAGAGCATTTAAAAATTTAAATTAGCTTTTAAAATTATACTTCACTCATTCAGTTCCAGGTTTTGCACTGAGGTTTAAGAAAGTAGTATCTACTAATTTTTACTTGGGAAATTGAGATTTTTCTATGAGGTTTATTACATGATCCTTACCCATAAATGATTAAAAGACATCAGAAAATAAGTATTTCTCCCCAGATATAAAATTTGGTAGCTGTATCTACTTACCCAGATATCTTTGTGGATATGTAATTAAATTGATGAATTACATTATTCATATATATATTTTTTTGCCTGAGTGGAGGGCAATAAAGTTTCCAAGTATTATTTTGTTTCTGTGAATTATCCCTCACATTTCTAAAAAATTTTAGTTTACATATTTTGAATTTATTTTATTTTTAAAGTCATCTTACATAAGATATAAATTACCTAATAGAAAAATCACATACTTTATATTTCTATGAGTCGTACCAATGTGTATCACATAACCCACGTAACCACCACCACAAAAAAAGTTATGGCATATTTCCATCATCTAGGAATGTTTCTCATTGGACTCTCAAGTCAGCATCTCCCAAATTTCTTCCCCTCACAATCACTGACCTGATTTCTACCACTGAGGCTTTATTTCCCCAAAAGTAAATAGATAGATAGATGGTATGTTAGCTATTATGAATGACACTCTTATGAACACTCATGTGCAAGTATTTCTGTGAAGCGCTGAAGTTATTACTCTTAGAAGATAGCTAGAAATGGCATGATAAATGTGCATATAATTAAACTATTTTTAAAAAATGACTTTGTCATTTTATACTACAGCAGAAGTGTATGATCATTGAATTTACTCCGCACATCCTTGACAATGCTTGGTATTTTTTGTCTTTTAAATTTCAGTCATTCTTACGACTCTGTATCAGTATCTCATTGTGGGTTTTAATTTTTATTTCCCTAATGACTAGTAAAAATTAAACATCTTCTCATGTGTTTATTGGCTATTTGTTTATCTTCTTTTGTGTAATTTCTGTTCAAATACTTTGCCCATTTTTTTTTTAAATTGGGCAGCTTCTCTTCTTATTGAGTTATAGGAAATCTTTTATATCCTAGATAACAGTCCTGATTCCTTTGGAGGCATGATTTCACTCACCTGCTCACATTTCTCTCCCTCTTGGACTACTTCCTCTGTGAGAAGCCAGATGTCATGTCATGAGGCCATTCAAGCAGGATATGGAGTGGTCCATGCATTTAGGAATGGAGGTCTCTGGCCAATAGCCAGTGAGGAATGAACGCCTGTCAACAACCAAGTGACTGAGTTTAGAAGTGGATTCTCTAGCCCTATTTGAGCCTGGAGATGACTGCAGACCTAGCTAAGAGCTGGAAGGCAACCTCAAGAGACACCCTGAGCCTCTCCCAGATAGCCTACCATCAGAAACTGTGTGAGATAATAAATATTTGATCTTCTGAGCTGCTAAGTTTTTAGGTAATAGATAGCTAATATCCACCCAAATCATGATTGCTTTAGTTCAATCACAAAATCTGGAAAGCAGGTTCAAGGGAAGTTGGCTATATGAGCAGACCTGAGTTCAAGTTGGAAGCCACAGTTCCCAGAAAGGATGTATTGTCAGATTTCTCTCCCCTGGTTCCCAAGCCCAGATCATATTAGGTGCAATGGTATAAGTGGCTTCTACTCCAAACAAAATTAAGTCCTTCTGTTCCTCTTCATTACTGGGTGCTTTTTACCAGCACTCTCCTTCTCTCTCTGAATTCTCAATGCTCTTCATCCTATAGCTATTTCATATCATTTTTTTTCTGCCTCTAAGATTCTCATGTTAGGAAGAAATCATTAAGATTATGTAGACCAACCTTCATGACTGAATTACTTTATAACACCCCCAAGTGGTCCTCTAGCTTATTTTCAGAAATTGGATGTCACTATCTCCTGAGGTAGTTTACTCTTTCTTTGGATCACTTTGGCTCTTCGAATATTTTTGCAATGGTGAGCAGAATTCACTTTCTCCTCTCTCCTTCTTCACTTGGTTCTCAAGAGAGTCATACTTGGGCAAACTCTTCAGGAAGAGTTGGCTATGAGTGAGACCAGACTTCTGAAGCAAAGACTGAGTATTAATTGTTGGGGTTTTAAAGAAATCATATTTTCTTTAATATGAAGTCTCTAGTTGGACTTCCCTTTTCTCTGTCACAATCAGATTCCCAGTGCTCAAGCCCCAAAGATTTCCCTACAATCCCTATGGGGCAAGACCAGAGTGGGGACTCCCAAGAAATGACCCATAATGCCAGGAGATCTGGATGGCCACCATGGGCTCTCTTTCCCAGCTGGAGGAACTGTAGGCTCAGGGGAGACCTCTCAGGATGGTGCTGCCCCAGTCTGGGGGAGAGGCAATGCACTTGGCATGCAGCCACTACTCTTATTCTTCTGATGCCATCTGTTTCAGTCTCTGTGGCACAGCGCGGGTGCTTCAGCCTCATCCCCATGTTCTAGGTTTCTCTCAGTGGTGACTTATCCATGAATAGTTGTTAGTTGTTCTTCTT